ATTTTCTCTTGAGATGGCACTTCAGCTTTGAACATGTAACACAGATTTGTTTGATTAACATCACTGATTTGGAAATACGACGAGCATCTCCCATAAATATGCTGACTTTTTGCTACGAGAACATCACGTCTCAACCTATTAATTTCAATCAACTAATTGATCAGTTAAATAAATAAAATTAGCGACATCTACTACTTTTGTGGGCGATTATCAACAACAATCTTCCTAACTGCTTCGTACTGCTGTTCTTTCAACTTTAATAATGTCTTTTCTCCCAATTTTCGAAGGGAAACCAACGCTTCGTGGAGCGCTTGTGTATTTTTATTCATATTTACTATAATAAACCATATATTTCGTTGTGGCCAATCAGAAGCCAGTTTGATATGGATTTGGCCAGAGCCCCTCGTCGTGCTCGGTCGAACGCGCGTAAGAAGGGCTCTGGGTACGAGAATGCAAAATGGCTGAAAATCCATGCAAACCAAATCTACCGTGACGTAGGTGATGCATCAGGTTTCTACTGTGACGTCAAAAGTGCGGTAAAAAATAACATATTTTGTCGCGAAATTATTGACGCTTAAGTGTCGCAAAATAAAAAGTAAATAACAAAAAGTACACATTTGCGATCGCACGTCGCATATTGGACTTATTTTGACAATTTCGACTGTTATTGAGACTATATCAATTGAATTTCATCCTAAATAGTGTATTCCTGACATGGAGTCAATTTTAAGCAAATATTTGCGGTTTGATAGCTGGAGAGATTCAAAGATGTTCTATTACCAAGTATTAACGACAGCATAATATGTCTATATATTATTTCAAGCAACATGATTTCTCAATTTTGACCGATGCATTCGCATCGTTGGCATCGGTCTGGTTCCGCCCCTGCTTCCGAGTACGTAATTTGTAGGAAATATCGTCGATTGTAATGAAATAATAAATTGAACAGTAAATAGCGAGTATATTTTGGTAGCTGATGGCTGATTTAGTTCATGGTATTAAACTTTATTGAGGAGCTCAGACAGCTTAACAAAGTGTTTACAAAAATAAATTAATTGTATCATCATATAGAGGGCTAAATTACTAAGTATTATTGGCTAATAATGATGAGGCCATTTTTTCCGAGTTCGCGTCAAAATTAATTACATGTATACGTACCTGATTGGCTCAGACGCAAGCACGGGAAGTTTCTTGTTTTAAATAGCAATAAAGCAATGGCTTCTCCCTTTGTCGTTGAGGATACTAACGTTATTGAAAAATAAAAAACATTTAGTGAAAACTGGAATACTAGAAAAAGCATAATTTTATTGGTTGGAGTACTTAAAAAAATTGTAAGCATTAAGGAACATCGGTGAAAACATGGATCGGGTAATACGAGGTTTAAGAACTTGACAAGTTCACAATTCACTAAAAATAAATTGTGCCTGCTATGATTAACAAGACGCCTGCCCAAGGCGTTGGCTCCCTCGGTAAAGGGGAAGGGTAGCAACAGAATTGCTTGGGGTGATGCAGGAAGTTGATGAGACGTGCATGGTTAGCACCTTATTATAACCTTGGCATTTTGGCAAAGGATAATATAATACTGTACATACAAATTAGAAATGAAAGATATATCTCCAGTACTTTAATTATACCTGGTTTAGTCTACAGTATGCTATATATTATTAATTAAAGATCGTATAAAGTTCTACTTCAAATGTATAAATGGTATACACTTGCACATCTGATACCCAGAATGCTTGGGATAATTATTATTGTGAAATAATGTGATATATAGTATCTGGTGTTCCATCAAATTCCCACTGCATGTGTTTTATGTCAGTACTCAGTATTGTATTCTAGGTTGAAATTTTTTACCTTTAGGATAGAGAATGTTTCAAGAGAACTTGTAACAGTTTCCAATATTCTTCAGGAACATAACCAATAACCGTCAACCATTATACATTATAGTCATTATAATTAATGAAGACTATGGCCATTGATAACCTCCTGATAACGAGAGTAATGAGCAACATTTCACAGATGGCATAGTCATAGAGAATATGTTGTGCAGGTCCAACATTACAGAATCGTAAATACCACAGTATAAATAAGGGACCACGTCGATATTCATGTTGCCACAAATAACGTCGAATCGACTTTATTATTTCACCCACCCACCCCACATAACGTCGATCGAATCGATATTCTGTCGTATTTTGACCGAATACTCACAATTATTGTACTTTGCTACCGTGATTGGCTGGGATTGTATTTTGATACAATATTTAAATAGTGATTCGGTTTTCGCCGGAGTGGCAATAAACAATACAACCAAGATATACCCGTTCTCAAAATTAAAATGTCCATAACACATGTCATATTCTTGTTGGTAGAAGTTGGCAACCAAGGTAAATTGTAAAACCATCTTTTAATGAGGTCTACAAAATTAGAAAAGTTGTGTTATTATAGAGTTTCCGTTGAACTTCTTCATAATAAACTTCAAATTCTTAATAATAAAACTGCAAAGTCTGTGTTGGATCTACCAATCAATGCTTCTAGTAGCCAGGCCTTAACAATGTTGAGTGGTATCCTTTGTCGTATAGAAGACAATTCCACAGATGTATTTTTGTTTATAAAGCCTTGAACAATAATGTCGACTTCAATATGAAAGAAATTAAAGGAAGTGATTTATACTGTCATGACACAAGAAATAAACAGTAAGACTCCAACTTTGTAGAACCAATTTGGGGACAACAAACATCGCACTATCTGTTTTTTAATGATTGGAATAATCTTCCGTCATTTGTTAAAGATTCTGGTAGCTTTTTAGCTTTTAAAAACAAACATATGTCTCAGTATGTAATGAATAACTTAATAATGTTATCTTATTGTTTTAAGTGTGGACTTAGTTGACTATTTAATTAACTTTTTGAACTTTCTTAGCATTTCTAATTAATTAATTTTCATAATCTTGTTGCATGGTGTATTTTAATATATATACGTGGTGTATGAAAAAAAGGTAATCGAACTTCAGTGCGCAATTATACGTGAATCACTCGGCGTATGAACAACTGGTCTTCATATTTGGAATGATCAGGCTTTTAGCTATTGAATGACTTGGTTTTCATACCAAGTGGAGAAAAAATAACCATGTACGAGGCCGATCAAAAATGTTAGTCAAAATCGCATATTTTCACCTCTGTGCCTATAATTAAAACAATGCATAACGAAAGAAAAAGCAACTAATCACTAACGTGTCGTAGCTTAGCTAAGATTTATTCCTACTTAATAATAATTATGAATAAGTGCGTAGTTTAATGAAGTGAAATTCATCAACTTAAATTAAGTACCAAAGGGAGTTCATTTTCAATGGTTTTAGACCCATGCAACTCTCAATGGCGAAAATATGCGATTCTGACGAACATCTTTTGTCGGATTCGTATTTGCTCATTTTTTATCCACTTGGCATGAAGAAGATATCATTCAACAGCTAAAAGCATGATCTTTCCGAATGTGTTAAAATCTCGTTCATACGCAGAGTAATTCGAATACAATAGCGCGCTGAATTTCGATTACCTTTTTTTATACACCCTGTATATTATAGTCTGAATAATTATAGTCAGTATTTTATGTAAATACTTATTTCCTTCTTATTTGAGGACCCTTGTGAAAACCATCATTGATGATAAGGTTTTCTCACAAAAGATTGCTAAAAAAAAGAAAAGAAAAAAAAGAACTTTTGCGTATAGCCTATATAAGCGTAAAAAATTGGAAGTATAGCATTGTTAAAATCTTACCAGTTTAATTTAATTAAAGCTTTCAACTGTCTCGGTGAACTAATAGCCTTAATTCAACTCCATTTGTTCTTTCATTGTTGTTGCACCAACAAAAATACATCAATAAGAGTTAATCCAAAGTACAGCACAATAGGAAAAATACAGTACAATTTGGTGAAAAAAATTAACGAAATTGCCAGAAATATTATTTACCCACTCATCACGCAACCGCCATTTTGAAACTGAACTATATAAGTCGCAGAAGCATACTTGCAAAATCACCCATAATACCTGTGAAATGTATCACCGATATGCCTGTCAAACGTTTATTTTGTGACATCCTATAAAGACAGAAAAATAGCATTTTAAACCTCTCTCGGGCTAGGCCCGACGGAGAAGGCAAGTAATCGCACATTACTGAAATGTTGAAATTGAACACTAATTTTACTGGACATCATGCGATTACCTATACAAATTTCAAAACTGCATTTGTTTTGCTCGCACGAATAAATATGACGTGATAACGTAATGTTCATTTTGCTCGCCATTTTAAGGCATTCTACAAGCTAAATTAATTCGATTCAGTTTTCTTCGTCTTCGATTTTTGAACAACGAATCTAAAAACAAGTTTGAAGAAAACCATCAACTAGAATTCGAAATAGATTATACTAGACGATGAAAGACATTTTTCTTTACTCAAAGTGTACAAATTTGCTAAGTCGGGAAAGCATTTTTCGCACTGAAGGCGCGCCAATTTAAATAAAAGCATTGATTTTGTCAAAAAATTAAATGTTCATAAAAACCGTGTACAATTTTTTAGTTACCCTTACACAGCGCTGAAATTGTTCAAATGTGATTGATATTTTCAGAAACACTGGACAAATATTTATTGACGGTATATATAGACATTTTAATCAGTTAATTCGCGATTCATCCACTGAAATAATATAGCAAAACTAGTGCTCTAATTTAGAGCAAAGAATATCTACTTCTACATAACGTCTACTTCTACAGTGTACTAAAATATAATCCCGAACGATCTCCCCCAGTGCTGCAGTGCAGGGAAAGACTGCGATGAGAAGATTTTTACGGATTGCGAGAAGGGCTTCGCTCGGAGCGTCAAATTTCTCCTTATATTTCACAGGTGGTTTTGCCTATCGCAATCAGTAGTTGTCTTAAGTCTTTTTTATTATATTCATGAATCAAAATTTGCACATTTTAGGACACTGTAAAAGACAATAGATGGGGGATCAAAAAAAGAAATTAAACATTCCGAACAGACAAGATACATCACAAATTGACGAATTGAAAACTGAAATTAATAATCTGCCGAAGGACAAGCCAAAAGCATGCGAAGGTCTCATCCGAGAATTGAACAAAAAGATTTCGGAGGTCAACAACAAAAGCGTGAAAGAACGGCTTCATTCCGATCTTAAAGCTATATCTTTTCTTGGTTTAAACAGCGAGTTGAAGAAAATGGTCGAAGACAATGGCTTGAAGATGGAAGCAATCCAACTTGTGCTGAAATATGTGACTTCAAAAGAGGAGCTCGGTGAATATTTTTTCACTCATCCTAACGGGGATTCTGAAAAAGATGGACTGGATGCTGTAAGAAGACGGCTCAGTCCAAAACTAGAGGTTCTTGGTGGATTATATTCTAAAGGAATTGATGTGTCAAAGCCCTGGGTACAAAACCTTGTTCAAGCTGCTCCATCACTTCAAACACTATCCAGAATCCCAGTTTCTGAACTGCAGGTACGATGTCACGGTTTATTCGATTTGAAAGTATTTAAAGTGTCCTATTTCTTTTACAAAATAGATTCTGTTGCCAAGGGCATCCGAACAGAATTTGTGTATTTTAGTGTGCCGTATTCATTAATCGTATTAAGGATACAGACGCAAACACCATTGTGAATGCGTCTATCACGTCGGATTAAATTATACCCGGGTAATGAAACAACGTTATCGTCAATGTGATTTTGCAACCACGTTCCACAATGCCGGTTATTACTTTTTCTCCAAGAACTCTGTTTGCCAGAACCTTTGGAATGTCCAATCTAAAGTTTTATTACAAATGCTGAATGCGCGATCACAATTTATAATGAATTTATTATAAGGTTTCTGAAACGTTCTCTGATCGTAAAGTTTACTTAAGGAGGTTCGCTGCAGTTTTTAATATATATCAGTGTTTTTTAAACTAAAAGCTATTTGATCGAAATTAACTTAATCTTTTACACAAGCTATTGTTTCCTCTTATATAAAAATACTAGAAAATAAATGCATGCAGAAACCCTCGCCTTGCTGACAAAACCATTGTATTTTCCGAACATGAAGTATCTAGAGCAGTTGTCATGGTAACACGATCATTTTTTAAGAATATTCTTACAAATCGCCTAAAAATATCACTTTTAATTACAAAATTATCAATTTCCCAACATAGATATGTTAGGTATGTTATTATACGTAATATAAGCTTCGAAGATTTAAGGTAAAATTCAACCACAAACACTTCGCAAAACGTTTTAAAGTGTTCTTTATAAAACTAAACAGCCTTTAATTAAATGGCTTTATCGATAAACTTTGAATTTGCAATAAAATAATTTCAAATTCTCGCTTGCAAGTAACTTTGCTTTCTTTTCTATTTAAAAAATTCAATATAATAAAAAAGGGAATCAATATTAAAGATGAACTGAAATTATATGCTACCTTGTTTAGTTGTTTCATATACGCAAAGCCCGTCGGGTTTTAAACCATTATAAAATCAATATTTAAAACAAACTTACCTTCGTTAACGTCGGCAAAAATCCGAGAAAAAATTCATCAATCATCAAATCAAGAAATGTTTGCTATTTCGCTGTCGTCATGCAGTCGTTACAATGCAAACTTTAAATTGGACCAATCAGTGTCCGCTATTCATGACAGTCCGCCATATTTTTGAGATCAGTGAGAATGATCACCCATTGTTGGTCACCCACGCCCGCGATATTTGATGAACTTTAGACTTCCCTAATGCTTTCGTTTCCCCAGGCGTAAATAGCCGGGGGGAATTAGTACCCTCGCACAGCGCTTCGCGCCGTCGGCTCGGAGATAATTTTAACCCACAATCGCTACTCTTCAGCTACCATGACCACATGTCGTCACCATCAATAAGGCCTAATTATATCAACAAAAAAAGCCGTCTACGCGAACAAATAACCACAATATTTAAGCACTTTATCTGTTGAAGACTGCAAACTGGCAGTTGAAAGCTCGTGCTAAATAAATTTTACGACCAGAGAACGTTTCCGGAACTTTACTAAAATTTTAATTTAATTTTTCTCCTCAGAATTAACCTTTCTGGCGGTCAAAGTCATGTATGCAATTTTCACTGTTTGACTGCAGAATCTTGATATTGCTACTGGCGGCACAAACATAAAAATGATCACAAAAAATAGTTTCTTAATTTGGAAATAGGTTCGGAGTGTCATAACTTTTGTATATGGTGAAACGGAGTAAACATCCCATTTATTTTGCCACTGTTACTACATATAGGAACTTTGCGATGGAGAAAATCAAGGAGAAAAAGAAGTTGTAAAGCGTTTGGTAAAAGATGCGGAATCACGTAGTAAACAGAGAGCAACTGCCAAAAATTTTCAAGAATTTTATGGAAAAGAGGGAGGCGGAAAAGCTATTGATCATGAGAAACTTAAAAAAGCGAAAGCGTTGATGAAAGAAGCAAAGAAACTGGCAACGGATCAGGCAGTCGAAGCAAAGAATGCCGTGAACGGGAAACTAGCCGAAATCACGAAGATACTTCAACTTCCCCGCGATTGGAATAAACAAGACATCGGACTTGAACCAGAACAACTTTTGCAACAGTTCGACGGGATTATAGAGCAGTTCAAAAGTGTCGTTGAAGTAGGTGAACCCTACCAAAGTGAGATGGAAGTAGTCAGAAAAGCAAGCGGTGGTCGTGCGCTTTGTGGAATATACTACTCCGAATACGTGCCTCCTGTAACAGCAGAAGTACCAATCATAGTAATGCCCGAAAAATTGATCCTTTCCAGCCCAAACAATTCACAGCAGGTGAGATACGTGCAGTTCTCCAAGAGCCAGGCTGCTGCAGACTACGTTCAAAGTGTGAAATCTTCAAGTAGTAATATTGGAGTAGGCATTGCTGGCTTTTACAAACTGGCGGTTGGTGAATTCAGTGGAAGTTACGCAACCAAAAGCGACAAAGGTATGAATTTAGTATCTATATACGTACCACTTTCACAAAACCTGGTACATACTGACACGCCCTCATCAAAACCGGAAAACAGCTACAAAAATAATTTTTCTTATAAAGTTGACTTTTTGGGCAAGAGGCGACGGCATAACGGAAGGGGAAAGAGGGCAGAATTTCGTTTTGCTGATGATTTTTAATTGCAGTTGTAAGTTCTAAAACAATTCAAGTTAAGATGGCTAGCGGCACACGATTTTTCGAATTTGTAGTTTTTTCGAGTTAGGTCGACTGTCTTCATTTCATTTTTATAGTTTCCCTTAACCTCTGAATTGACTTTTTAAATTTAACTAAGTTTGAAATTCTCAATTTGGAGATACTATGGGGATACTTTCATCGCTTGATAACGTGTGCAGCTAATATGAAATGAACAAGGGAATTATCTGCGCAATTCGAGAATTGAACTGGATGCTTGTATACTATACTTGAAACCATGATCAGCGTGTGAAATTTACCTACAAGCGAAAACCGCACATAAAATACAACGGTTAAATTGCAATCTCATTTTTTGCAAATTCTGACAAACGCTAGCTTTTAATTTTTGAGGTATTTGAAACTGGAATACCCAACCAGCTGTCATCTTGTCTTTCAATTCGCGACTTCAATCCTCAAAACACGTGAAGTTGTCACGTGATTAAATTTGTAAACAAATCACGAAATGCGGACAATCCAATTTGCCTATGTAAAATTAAAACAGTGACTGAATTTTTACACCTTGGGTTATACGTGTTATACTTTAAATGTTTTTCAAATATTTTAAATTATATTTAGTTAAAATGAACTTTGTCGATTTTACGGGAAATAGATCTGTATGAAAATGACCCTGCCCTTTACACATACAGAAGAAACATTCTTGGTTCACCAGAGAGGAAACATATAACAAAAGAGTTGATGTTGAGAGATATTGGAAAACATTGGATGTCCTTCATGTTATGAGACATAAAACATTATAACATGAATTACTATTCCATTCCTATCAAACTTTGTTGTAAATTTACAATGGGCGCACAAACTCTAAGAACTGATGATATAAGACGTATTAGCCCCTTTGTATCGTCTGCGACACAAAAGTTGATGTACAATACTATTGTACAACCCTCTTTGATTACTGCAGCCCCCTTAGGGACAACTGTGGAATAGGCCTCAAAGACATGTTGTAGAAATTTCAAAATCGGGCTGCAAGAGTAATTTCTGGTGCGACTTACGATGTTCAGTCGGTTGATTTACTTCTGGGTTGGAAAAATCTGGGTTTAAGGCGAAATTATCTAAAATCTGTTTTTATGTATAAAATTCTGAATAACCACACCGCACCAGGTCGGTTCCAGTAAGTGATATTTCCGAACAGAGTCTAGTTCCTTCGTTACCAATGTAATCAAGTAATATGTTTTCTCTGTTTTGGTGTTGTGTACTCAGGTGAATATGATGTTTGTGATATCTGTGAATATGATGTTTGTGATATCTGTAGATTAAGTATGCGTTATATGACCCCCGAGCTGACAGCGCGAAGCGCCGTGTGAGGGTTCTAATTCCCCCTGGCTATTCACACCCGGGATAAGGGTCGCACTAGCGAAGTCTAAAGTTCATCAAATATCGCGGGCGCGGTTCATGGGTGTATGGGTGGTTATCTCACTGATCTCAAAATATGGCTGTTTGCCAGGAGTGAAAAACGGGAAAATTTAAAAAATATATGTAAGAAAGCTTGGAAAATCGTTTCACATAACAAATTGTAAAGCTATTAACTTCTGTCTAAATATTTCGAGAACTAAGCAAGATATGACAAATCGGTAATAGAGTTTAATATATAATTTTAAGAGTTCTTTTGAATGAGACAAACTATTTTTTATTGCCAATGTCCTTTAAAAAAATTATCGTGTTGCCATGACTAACATGACGTGTTACGCGAGCCTGCGTTCAGTGTTGGCGTATTTACGAATACTTCATATTAAAATAATGTTTGGAGAATATAGGCGAGGGGTTGTTGCATGCATGTATTTCTAGTTTATATTGACTGTAGATTCGCAGTTGGCTTGATGGCAGGGAGTGCATGCTTTTCAATATAGAATTTCGTGCAATCAATAATTCCTCTTAAGGTGGTCTTCCACCCAAATTTTCCAATATTCGTTATTTTTTAGAAAAACGTAAAAATGTGGTCTTTATAACGTTCTTTATAAAATCCGTGTAATTTTAAGAATGAAAATGTACCGTAAACCAGAGAAATCCATTTGTGATATCTGTAGATTAAGTATGCGTTATATGATCCCGGAGCCGACAGCGCGAAGCGCCGTGTGAGGGTTCTAATTCCCCCTGGCTATTTACACCCGGGATAAGGATCGCACTAGCGAAGTCTAAAGTTCATCAAATATCGCGGGCGCGGTTCATGGGTGTATGGGTGGTCATCTCACTGATCTCAAAATATGGCTGTTTGCCAGGAGTGAAAAACGGGAAAATTTTAAATATGTAAGAAAGCTTGGAAAATCGTTTCACATAACAAATTGTAAAACTTTTCTTCAATTTTTGAAGGTAAACATTAACTAAGAATTGATTTAAAATGATAAATTTTACACGCCTGGCAAAAAGTAGTACAAAATCGCCAGAGGTGTTGTAACTTCTTTAATTTTCATGCTAGGATTGTACGAAATTTTCCTTAGTCTTAGAACATATCATTCTTACAAATCGTGCTGTTTTTGTTTTAGGACTTTTTATTTTTTGGCGGGAAAATGACGTCATAAACATGGCGCCAAAAATTTAAAAATTAGCAATTGCTAATATCATGTATTTATTCGGAAGAGCATGCTATAGGAAACATGAAACTGAAGTTTGTATCGAAATACGACCATTCGCTGCAAAGATAAACTGATTCAAAATTCGAAAAATCGGCCATTTTGTTACTAAAAATAGAACAAAATGGCGGAATTTTCGAAATTTGAATAGATAGATTGATAGATAGATAGATAGATAGATAGATAGAAAACTTTATTTAACCACGCTAACCCCGTCAACCGAAGCTGATTTCCACAGGGGGCGTGTATAGAAGAAATTACAGAAGTATAAAATTTAGAATAATTATTTACAAAATATGAGAAATAGTATTAAAAAGGTAAAGTATAGTACCGGTACTTAGTAAGTTAGTCTGCGGGAACATCTATCTACAATTACTATTAATGTGAGTAGCGATTTTATTCCTAAAAGAGACAAAGGATTTATTTTCTCTAATTTCCTTCGGAATAGAATTCCAAAGGTAGGCTCCGTCATACATGAAACTCTTTTTCATGCTATTTGTACGCGGTTTAGGTAAGCAAAGACTACTCGAAATATCCCGAAGATTGTAGTTTGTCATCTCACCTTTATATGTGAAAAGATTAGTGAGTGACTCCGGACCCACTTTATTTAATAATCTCTTTTTCGACCACCCCCTTTCGCATCAGATTACGACACAATTTTTCTAATATAAATATCTCGGCGAGTATTTACCCCCCTTGTAAATAAAAGCCACCATTGAAATCCTAATAAAATAACCTTTCGAACGGGGGGTCAAGTGCCATCAGAGCATTACACAAACCGAAACAATCATATATTTACTCACCGCTTGGCCAAAGATTCTAGATTTTATATCTACAAGATCTTGAATATCTCTTGAACTTTTCGTCATTTTCTGAACGGCTATATGTGTAAAATACTCTTTGTATCCAAGCGCTTTCGTGTAGAAAGTTTGGTATGTATACGCCGACTAGAAATATTTATTTTGAATTTTTCAAGGTATCGGGTTTTACTACGTTTTACTCGCACTTGCGAACATTGCGCAATAATTGGCCAATAAGAAGCTCCTGTTGGCCGGTATGACGTCAAACTCACGCGTGTAGGTGCAATTTGACCTTGCGAATCCATTTCTGGCCTTTCCAGGGTCATATGATACAAACGTCGCATTGTTTTGACGGTTTTCAGACGTATTTCCGGTTGGGATTAACTCACTTCGAGCTCACAGTCGGACAAGAAATGGAAATATATTGATAAAAGATACAGATTTGAAGATACAGGCTTGCAAATAACACTCTAAATAGTGTTTTTGATGGGGATTCGAACAAGACTATAACAAAGACGATATGTGCGAAGGGGCCGAAGTTATTTTCAGCGAAAGGTATGGCTAGTCTATATTTTGTTCAGACAATTGCGTAATTTGATACAATATTATCGTGTTTGACTTTCAAAGGCCCATAAATCGCTACAATGTTAATAATGACTATAACTATCGTTTGGAACTAGTCTATCTTTTATTTCTGAATCGATTGGTGGTATTTCTGTCTTCATAGCATGCACTGAACCGAAGGTATAAAATTTTATAGCCGTCGATCGCTCAGGATCGACGCGATATGGCCTGTGGCGAGAAAGAGTTTTAATATTTTGTACATTAATTTTGCTTTAGCTTTTTGTCTTTCCGTTTTGAGTGGCACCCAGCTCAATGCTTGTAAAGCAACATAATGTTCTGTGTCATTGCTCATATTCATGATAATTCGAGCAGCTCTATTTTGGAGTTTTTGGAGTCGTTTTGATTGTGTTTCCCCAAACACATATCATACTTCACAACAATAATCGAAGTATGGCCGAACAATTGCATTATATACAGAAATAAGAGTTTGTCTATCAGTAAACTCTTTTAAACGCCGAAGAGCCGATATTCCTGCTGTTATTTTCTTACAAATATTGTCAGTATTACTTTTCCAAGACAAATGCTGGTCAACTGTCACTCCAAAAGTTTTATATTCGTAAACTTGTTTAATTGGTTTGTTTTCAATTTCAATATTAGGTTGTGAATTTGAAACACTTTTGATCATTGGCATCGAGCCAATTAAAATAAATTCGGTCTTAGCTACATTTAGGCTAAGTTTATTGGCAATTAACCATTTTCTAAGGTTTTCCAAATCAGAGTTCACTGCAGTCTCCATGTGAGGTATAGAATCTCCAGTAGCGGTTAGATTTGTGTCATCAGCAAACAACCGAGGTTTTGTATTATTTAGACATTGAGGCAAATCATTAATATGTATTAGAAAGAATAGTGGCCCAAGAATAGAGCATTGTGGTGCACTACATTTGATCGTTTTTTTTCTGATGAAATGGATCCTTTTATTTGGCATTTCTGTTTTCGATTTGTGAGGTAAGATTTAAGAAAGGTCAAAGCTTTTCCTTTTATTCCATGAAGTTCCAACTTTCTTAACAGAATTTGATGATCAATAGTATCAAATGCTTTTTTCAGGTCAATTAAGACTACAAAGTTAAACATTTTTCTGTCTAAGTTCATAAACCAGTCATTAGTACAGTCGAGTAATGCTGTAACTGTAGAGTAAAATTTTCGAAAACCAAACTGAGAATTACTCAGAAGTTCAAATTTTGTTAAATAATTGTATAGCTGATCGTACAGAATTCGTTCCATAACTTTACTTATAGCTGGCAAAACTGAAATTGGTCTGTAGTTTCCTGCTGCATTTTGTTGGCCATTTTTGTAGAGAGGTATTACTCTAGCCACTTTCCATTTATCAGGGAAAGAGGAGAGAGTAACTGCCTGATTAAAAATATATGTCAACGAATCTGAAATGGCAGGAGCTACTATTTTAATAATTTTACAAGAAATTTTATCAATTCCAGTTGCTTTATTGGCAGAAAGTCCATGCAAGAGATGGTAGACATTACTGACGGTAACCGGCTGGAAAGCAGTGAATTCTGATTTAGAATTTTTAACATATTTTTCAAAGCTGTCATTCGAAGTATGAATATTGCTTGCTAAATCAGGGCCAATACTTGAAAAATAATCATTAAAGCCCTCTGCAATATCTTTTGGACTTGTTAAACTATTTTCACCCAGCTTTAGCTCATTCACCACTGTTGGTTTGCTTTGTCTACCTAATAGATTGTTTATGGTTTTCCAAGCATTTTTTGGATCACATTTTTGACCAGCAATTTTCGAGGAATAATAATCTTTTTTAGCATTTCTAAGCTCTATGTTCACTTTATTTCTTGTTGCTTTATAATTTTTCCAATCCTTTTCTAGGGTTGTGATAATGGCTTTCCTTTTTAATTTGTCCCTTGTAACTATAAGTTTCTTTATATCACTTGTAATCAAAGGGATTTTTTTTTATAAGAAACTTTCACACAATCTTTGCAGTGAATGGTCACACAATCACACAATCTTTGCAGTGAATGGTCGTACTTCGAAACAGACTTTAGTTTCAAGATTCCTACAGCATGGTCTTCCAAATAAATAAATAATATTAGTCATTGCTAATTTTTTAATTTTTGGCGCCAAGTTTGTGACGTCATTTTCCCGCCAAAAAATAAAAAATCCAAAAACAAAAACGGCACGATTTGTAAGAATGATATGTTCTATGTTTATGGAAAATTTCGTACAATCAAGATGAAAATTAAAGAAGTTACAACACATCTGGCGATTTTGGACTACTTTTTGCCAGGCGTGTTAAAGTATAGGGCAAATTTGTTATCAATTGTTTATGTATGCATGACTTTGTATTAATATAGATTTGTTCTTGTTGTTCAAGTCTTTCCTATACATTGTATGCGAAAGTTTCTTAGTTAACATAACTTTTGTAGAAGTTCATAATAAAAAGGAAAGCAAATAATTTCCATTAGCGTCCTGTACGAATTGAATTTATTTCATTTCAAAGTGCGAGTAATAAGTTGAAGAGATTAATATCGGCAAAAAGTCGTTAAAATTCAATTCACATTTAAAAACTTTTTGATACGTAGTTTCGTTTCGAATTTTACATTAAAATGAAGCCTATCGAAACCAAAATAATATACCTACTTTATATATTTTAGAAATTGATAGTTCTGTATTTAAAAGTGTTCAATTTCATCTACTTTTTGCAGGTTTGTCCAAAAATATTTTAAAGGACATTGGCAATAAAAAATTAGTTAATTAGTTAATTTGAAAGAACTCTTAAAACTATATATGAAACTCTATTACAGATTGTTTATATTTTGCTTAGTTTTCAAACTATTTCGACTGAAAAATGTGAGCTGTTCGCCATCTTAGATTTTTGACGATATGCATGTTACGTCAAGAGAGGGGTCACGCTAGCTAATTTTTTATATTGAGAGTAAGCGATCAATATGGGTCCAAAATTCGTTTCTGGTTGCTGTCGGAAATTTAGAAATGATTAAAAACAATACAAACAATTTTGGATTGTTATTCGATCATTTTAGAGTAGTTTATATGGTTAACCCAACTCCTGACGTCATCAAAACCATAGTTAATGAGGTAAAGAATTTTTCCAAGATGGCGGAAAGCCATTAATTTCGGTCTAAATATTTCGAGAACTAAGCAAGATATGACAAATCTGTAACAGAATTTAATATATAATTTTAAGAGTTCTTTTGAATGAGACAAACTATTTTTTTATTGACAAACTATCCTTTGAAAAATTATCGTGTTGCCATGACTAACATGACTTGCAACGCGAGCCTGCGTTCAGTGTTGGCGTATTTACGAATACTTCATGTCAAAACAATGTTTGGAGAATGTAGGGGAGGGGTTGTTGCATGCATGTATTTCTAGTTTATATTGACTGTAGATGCGCCGTTGGCTTGATGGCAGGGAGTGCATGCTTTTCATTATAGAATTTCATGCAATCAATAATTCCTCTTAAGTGTTAATATTTCACATGTTTGTACATTTCGGGGCGACGCAATCTTTTCATGGAGATCAGTGTTGGAAAATTTAGTAGAATTTCGATCTCTCTCTCTAAGAAGTACATTTTATAATAAGTATATAAAATTCTTGCTACTATTTCCAGTAGATATACCAAAAGTGGTACACAGTGTTAGTAATGTTGGTCTTCTATTAAGTCGCACAAGGGTAAAAACAAGTTGTTCTTTTGATATGAGTTTACTGCAACTTTGTTTTTGCAATAAAATAATGATGATTTTTGGCATAATTGGTACTGAACTGGAATGATTTAAATCTTACCTAACCAACAGGGAGAAACGATGTATGGTTAATGGCCAGATTTCATCAGCTAAGAAAACAGTTTGTGGAATCCCGCAGGGTTCGATCTTGGGGCCGTTGCTTTTTCTACTATATATAAACGATATGCCTAAATCTCTAAAATTTTGCACTCCCTCTATGTATGCAGATGACCCGGAAATTTATACACCTGCTACAGATGGTGACGAGCTGGTCACCAATATAAACTTTTGAAAATGTCCGTAAACGGATCGGTAACAAAATAAGCTTCAAATTCATCCAACAAAGACAAAACATATGTATATTGGATCGTCTTTTAATATTAAAAACAAAATTGTTCAGAACCCAATTTTAATTATTAACGTACCAGTCCCCAGGACAGAAAACTGCACATGCCTGGGTGTTGACCTGGATCAAAGGTTTACTTGGGAAAAACATATAGATAATATTTGCGCCAATATTGGGGTTGGAATTGGAATTATGAGAAGAATGAAGCCTTTTGTACCAGTAAAAACACTTAAGCTAATATATAATGCCCTGGTGCAACCGTACCTTGATTATTGTAGCTCTCTTTGGGACAATTGTGGAAGTGGTCTTAGGGAAAAGCTTCAAAGATTGCAGAATCGCGCTGCGAGAGTTATAACGGGTTCTACTTTTGATATTCGATCTGTTGATGTGCTGAATATGTTAGGTTGGGAATCCTTAAACCAGAGACGCAGCTATACAAAATCAATTTACAAGTATAAAATAATTAATGACCATGCCGCCCCAAATTTAAAACAACTCTTTCGACGATGCAGTAAGGCGATTACCTTATGATCTTAATTAGGAATCGTGAAATTGATCTAGTATTACCAAAACAAAAGAAAGAATTTCTTAAAAGAAGTTTTAAACACAATGGAGCTATCCATTGGAATAATCTGTCTATTGAAGCAAAAAGTGCTCAATTAGTGCTGATTCCGTTTATTCATTCAAGAGAATTATAAACTCTAGGGCGAGGTGAAGCTGACCTGTCCTCAATAATATTTATTTGTTTCGTTTATATATTTTTGTCTACCTGTTAGTCTTTGTATGCTTCATGTAACTTTAATTTGTACATATTATTTGTGTAATTAGTTAGTTAACACGCCCCTCATGAAAAACAGCTGATGTTGGTGAGGCTAGTGTGTCAAAATAAAGTATTATGTATGTATATGTGTACATATGTATGATAATTTTTATGCTCGTATATAAAATGAATTGGTGACGAACAGAGAAAAATTGTCCGGCGTTAGACACAGTAAAATGTGGGGGGAGGGGGAAACGAGTGCATGTGCCCCGCCCCCGTCCACTTTTTTTAAAAAATGAAAAAAGTGCCCATTTTTCGGGCTAAACGTATTCTTTGAATGAATGTCCTCTTTTGCTGGAAAGAAAGTGCTCTTTTTGCAGTAGTAAAGATTCTGTAAAGGGCATTTCCGACGTTATAGAGACTCCATATTTTCAAAAATTTCTTTGAGTCGTGAACGACAAAAAATCTTTGGATTTTGGTCATATACAGAAGTGCCCATTTTGGCCAATGCCCCTCCACTTTCGAAATGCATCCGCGGGCTTTGGATCATTCCATCTTTTAGGAGCAGGAAACAATGAAAGCGTAGTTTATCTCCTTTTTCATTGTTCGGTAATAAATGCGGGTATCTAGAATCATTCCTACTACAAGTGACCCAAGCACAACGTTTTGGGGCAACCATGTTGAATTGCCCAATGTCCATATTTCGTAATTTGTTTGCAAATTTAATGACGTGACAACTACACGAGTTTTGAGGGTTGAGGTCGCGAATTATATCTGATTAAATGCGCTTACAATCAAGGTACATGTTTTAAAAATAAAAACATTATCAGCGAAAACTTTCTACTTAAAGGTGATCTACAGTCCGTATGTAAACAAAGCCTTTGTTTACATTTTTGTGTCCAAAATATTCAGCTTTATTCGACAACTATTTATATTTTCAAGCTTCTAGAGTATAATAAATAATCAAGAAACAACAATCAGGCTTTTCAAGAACTCAAAACATAGTTA